AGCTGCCTCACCTCGCCTAGCTGCAGCCGCTGTCGCCTCCGGAGTCGTCGTTGCCCACCCTCCTCTGCGTCAGAGGAACCGTTCAAGTTTGCTTCTCTCTTCAAAGTTAGGATTGCCTTAACGACTGAGGGAGAAAAGGAAAAAAAAAAGAGAAAAAAATGAATTTAACACCAAAACGACGTCATTTTGGTACCACGACAGAGACCATGGCAGGAAACCATGGCAGAGGATTTGGACTCATTCCGTTTCATACAGAGTCTTCCAACAAGAACCATTCCCAATCATTCCCACAATGCTGCATCTTCAATGAGAACCAATAGTATTTAAGCACCACATGAGAGTGGAGATAGAGGAGGAGACCTCACAGCTGCCTCACCTCGCCTAGTTGCAGCCGCTGTCGCCTCCGGAGTCGTCGCTGCCCACCCTCCTCTGCGTCAGAGGAACCGTTCAAGTTTGCTTCTCTCTTCAAAGTTAGGATTGCCTTAACGACTGAGGGAGAAAAGGAAAAAAAAAAAAAGAGAAAAAAATGAATTTAACACCAAAACGACGTCATTTTGGTACCACGACAGAGACCATGGCAGGAAACCATGGCAGAGGATTTGGACTCATTCCGTTTCATACAGAGTCTTCCAACAAGAACCATTCCCAATCATTCCCACAATGCTGCATCTTCAATGAGAACCAGTAGGTGCCCTTATTCCACCCGTGTTACTACAAAATGCACATTGATGCATTAAAAATCACACATAAAATAAGAGCAGCAGCAGCCAACAAACTGACCTCTAGAGCACATAATCAATATGAGCACAACATGGAAAATCATACAACAAAAATACATAAATGAACATCTAAACCTCACCATGAATTAATGCAATGTTATGATTGACAAAGTCAACTATCTATTTGGCATAACATACTTTATGTAAGAATTTGACAAAATGGTTTAAGAATTTGGATAACATGGATAATAATGACATTATATGTTCATAAACAATAGATAAAAAAACAAAAACGAAAAATGAAGAAAATTACCTAGTTGTTGAACAATCAGCTTGTCAAGTTGTTCCAAATTTTCAAGCATCAAGTTAATTTAATTTCAGTTCATGAGAAAACAATGATAAGGAAGAAGCTAAAGAGATGATGAACTTACAGCACTATGCCATCAAAGGAGTTGATAACAATTCCATCAGGGAGATAATATTTGGTAGACAATGGCTTCACACTCAAACCAAGTACCCCTCCCTTGATGTGCTTGGAGACATAGAAACGACAAACAAGAAGCACAAAATGGTGACATCCAGCAGAATACTCATCATCCTTCCATACGAGGCAAAATGTTTCATCATGTAAGTGAAAAAAAAGTAGTGGAAAACATGCATCATCACTTAAAACCAACAAAACTTCTTTCAATGCCCAAAAATGGATACGACTGCAAAAATATTTTTTCTCATTGAGATCATACGCGTGACTGAACTCATCTCCAACCCAATAAAGGGTATGACTAGCCAATACTGGATCGCAATATGAAGAATCTATGAGGTCAAATTTTTCATCCATCACATCCCACGAATCTAGACAAACATGATAAGCATACAACCCGCGCTTATACAGTGATCCAACAATAATGATTTTTTCATTATGCATGGGTAATACAAACAAATACATATAGGGCACACGGAAGGAAGGTTGCTTCTATGGCTTCCATTCATTTTTGGAAGCATCAAACACTTCCTCCCACACCTTTGAAATACAGTTGGTGCTAGAACCACCCTAGGGCTTAGTGCCACCAAAGACATAAATTTTCCTATCAAATACAGTTGGTGCTAGAACCACCCTAGGGCTTAGTGCCACCAAAGACATAAATTTTCCTATCAATAGCCACAGCTTTACCACAACTTCAGGAGCTAATCATGGGAGGAGCTACCTCCATGCCTTTTTGAATCTCTGCAAGGTTCCAATACTTGACTTTGTGACTACCTCGTGTGGCCCCAAAGCGGTATACAATCGATCTCAATATAGTCCAGAAACAACCAAATGCCATATTAGGGGTCTCACACACCGGGGTGACCGGTGTGGAGAAGAACTCCTCCATCTCCTCCATCTCATTATATTTTCGAGTTAAAATTACTCATTAAATAATGTGACATCATAATCATTTTTGAATTTTAATTTATTTATAATTTAAAAAGCCCAATTCAATAGTCCTAATTCAATGATGGGAACAAACTTGCAACTAGATGATGTAATGACTATTAACTTTCAATATAAATTAGCTATGATTTAGATAGCACTTAGTTCACCTAAATGAAATTTGTTTTTCTTACTTTCTAGAATTACCATTTCTTGTATAAGTCCATTCTTGACAACAAAAGTCCTAGAATTGAACAAAGACGATAGCTATGAACATAAATATGTTCATTTAGTTGCTTCTAATTGCGTTTAATTTTATTCACAAAATTGGTGAAATTAGTTAGATTAAATCTAACAATCAACCGATTATACAAAGACCAAAACCTACAATACTTGATGTCCTCACAAAATATCATTTTTTTGTTCAAATATATATATATACACAAATTTCTATTGGATCAAATTAGTGGAGTCCGAAACATGAAATGTGATCAATGCACTTTTGAAAAATAAAATTTATTGTTTTAGACCAATCATAATCTATGTATTGATCACATTATAAAAAAATGTGAACACATTCACTTTTTTCCCTCCTAAATCAGCATTTCAATGTACTTTCAAAAGCATCATAACAGATCCCACTCAAAAAAAAGAGAGACAATGCCTACCCATTTAAATTACCATGTGAACACATTCATTTTTCTTTTTAACTAGTATTTCAGTGTAATTTCAATAGCATGATATAGCATAATAAATATATCTCAAACCGAAAACAGAGACGATGTCTACACATATTTAGGTCTCGTTTGGTAATATTATTTTTTAATTTAAAAGTTAAAAAATTATTAAAAAAATCAATAACTTGTATCAAAAAATTAAAAATTTTCTTTTCTTTTTACTTTTTGCATATCTTTTTATAAAAAATTAAAAAATCAATACAAACATACTAATTTTTTTTACATCATATTTCAGCCTAAAAACCAAAAAAATTATTAAAAAAACCAGTTCCCAAACGAGGCCATAAAATTACTTTTGGGATGTATGTTGACTTTTTAGCTTTTTAACTATTTTAGTCTGGGGTTAAAAAGTCTCATTTGGGATAATTTTTTGACTTTTTTGAAAGAAAAAATTAAATTATTATAAATTAAATACGATATTTTGTCTTATTAAGTTAAAAATCAATTTTGTATAACTAAAAAGTCAAAAAACTTGACATGCCAAACGAAGGCTTAAGAAATAAAAACTAAGATAGAACAGCATTGGCCCAAAATGGACTTACATAACCACTGTCTTGATACCTTAACAAGGATAATAAAAAGTCGAAATACATTGCATAACAGTTGAATATCCTGAATAACAATGGCCTCGTTTGGGAAGTGGCTATTTTAGTAGACTATTTGACTTTTTAGTTATTTTAGTAAGCTATTTTAGTTTTGTGTTTGGGAAGATGAGATGAATTTTTAGTTGGGTTCTTGTATTGGAAAGTGTGTTGAAATGATGTTTAAATTTAAAATGATAAATTTGTCCCTAACTTTTTATTTTTTAAATTGATATAAAGGGGTAAAATGGTAATTTTTCCATTGATGTATCATTTTCCGGCTGTGACAGCGCAGTGCCTATTTTTTTTTTTTTTTTTAAAAAAAAAAAAAACCTGTGAACAGTGCCACTTTTTGGCTTATTTATCAAATGAGGCTATAATAGCCTCGTTGGCAGGTTCCCAAACAGCGCCTGGCAACACCACGCCATGTCCGAGCTTAAAGCCAATGGCAAAACAAGTACACAGCACAGCAACAAGCAGACATAAGTTATTATAAATAAATAAAGCATTAAAAATAAATTGTTCAACGAGTTCTACTACAACAACAAGCATACATAAGTTATAATAAATAAATAAATAAGTAAAACATTAAAAATAAATTGTTCAACAAATTCACAAATTTTTTTTTGTTGTACCCAAAACAAACAAACAAACAAAAAAAAAAAATCACAAAATCAAAAACTAGTACTTAAAAAGTCTTCCAACAAGAACCATCCCCAATCATTCCCACAATGCTGCATCTTCAATGAGAACCAGAAGGTGCCCCCATTCCACCCGTGTTACTGCCAAATGCACATCGATGCATTAAAAATCACATAAAAGTAGGAGCGGTCGCAGGCAACAACAAACTGACCTCAAAAGCACATAATCAATATGAGCACATGGAAAATCATACAACAAAAATAGATAAATGAACATCTAAACCTCACCATAAATTAATGCAATGTTATGATTGGCAAAGTCAACTATCTATTTGGCATAACGTCCTTAATGTAAGAATTTGACAAAAATGGTTTAAGAATTTGAATAACAAGGATTATAATGACATTATATGTTCATAAACAATAGATTAAAAACGAAAGAGGAAGAAAATTACCTAGTTGTGGCAAGCTTAACTTGAACAATCAGCTTGTCAAGTTGTTCCAAATTTTCAAGCATCAAATTAATTTAATTGCAGTTCATGGGGAAAAAAATGCTAAGGAAGAAGCTAAAGAGATGATGAACTTACAGCACTATGCCATCATAGGACGCGAAAACAATTCCATCAGGTAGATAATATTCGGTAGAAAACGGCTTCACACTCAAACCGAGTACTCCTCTCTTGATGCGCTTGGAGAGACAAAACTGATGAACAACAAGCACAGAACAGTGACGTCCAGCAGAATACTCACGTCCAGCAGAATACTCAAGTCCCTCCCATATCAGGCAAAACATTTCATCATGTAAGTGAAAGAAGAGTAGTGGAAAACATCGATCCTCCCTTAAAAGCAACAAAACTTGTTTCAATGCCCAAAAATGGATACGACCGCAAAAATATTTTTTCTCATTGAGATCATACGCGTGAATGATCTCATCTCCTCCAACCCAATAAAGGGTATGACCAGCCAATACTGGATCGCAATATGGAGATATGAGCTCAAATTTTTCATCCACCACATCCCACGAATCTTGACAAACATGATAAGCATACAACCCGCGCTTATACAGTGATCCAACAATAATGATTTTTTCATTATGCATGGATAACAGAAACAAATACACAGGGCGCATGGAAGGAAGGTTGTTTCAATGGCTTCCATTCATTATTGGAAGCATCAAACACTTCCGCCCACGCCTTTGAACTACAGTTGGTGCTAGAACCACCCCAGGGCTTAGTGCCTCCAAAGACATAAATTTTCCCATCAATAGCCACAGCTTTACCACGACTTCGCCTGCTAATCATGGGAGGAGCTACCTCCATGCCTTTCTGAATATCTGCAAGGTCCCAATACTTGACTTTGTGACTACCTCGTTCGGACCCAAACCAGTATACAACCGATCCCAATGTAGTCCAGAAACAACCAAATGCCATATTAGGGGTCTCACACACCGGGATGAGCGGTGTGGAGAAGAACTCCTCCATCTCCTCTACTTTCCCTCCACTAATAAACATGTCAGTTATCTTCTTAAACAGATAGAATCTTCTCTTGGCTTCTTTTTCCATTTTCTTGACATTTTCTCTCTCACAGAGCCCAAGGATAGATATTGCTTCATTGAGATTGATTATATACCAACGCGTTTTTTCTTCACCAGAAGCTTCGGTTGTGCTCACACAAAGACACACCGAGGATGATGATGGATTTGATACTTCCATATTGAACCCTTCCATTTCTTTCGCTGCTTCCAGTAATAAGGAAAGGACCCAAGTAAGTTCTATATTGAAGGGAAAACAGCAAAACAAAATCAAACGGGAAGAGGAGATCGGAGGGAATACCTGAGATGAGAGGAGATCTGATCTGCAGAGATCGACGAGTTCTGAAGAGATCAGCCGGTGACGAGTTCACCGATAACTGAGAAGAGAGCGCTGGTGCTCCGCCGCTTTGAACAACTCCCCCTTCTACTATTCACCGTGGCACCAAACAGAGGCAGAGAGAGAGAGAGAGAGTTGCAGCGCAATTGTTATATCTTCTTGGATTACAATCACTGATTTGGTATTTATAGGATTGTTTTGGTAACTATTAGGTAAAAAGTTCAGGAATACATTACAAATATATATTTTAGGTTGGATTAAAATACGAGCCGTTCTTATAATTTTGAAAATTATATTTCATTCTTAAAGTTTTTAATTTTATAACAAATGTCTCTTTTATTAATAAAATATCAAGTTAATTAATAGTTTTTAATGATGTTATAAATATTTTTTAATTAATAATTTAGATAATTTTATTATTGTATAAAAGAACAATTATGAAATTTTTTTTTTAGTTAATTCTATTAAATAAAAAATACTAATAAGGAGATATTTATAATTTTTTCAAACCAAAAGAAATAATCTGTACTTTAAACAAATTTCAAAAATGTATTTGTAATTTATCGTGAAAAAAAAATGAGCTCTTATTCTGTTCACATAGATTCATGGGTCATGACTTACACGCAAGCCATTACGATATCTGATTCACCAACTTGTTTGGCAAGTTAGATTTTAGTTTATTTATTTATACTAAAATTTATAAAAAGATAAAATAAATTAAAATAATTAATAGGACAAAATGTCTCATCAAATTTATAATCATTTTATTTTTTCTTTCACAAATATCACATCAAATTGTAAAAACATCCAACTAAAATAGTCAAAACTAAATAACCTATTAAAATAGCAACTTTCTAAACACCCACTAAATCACTTGTACTATCTTGATGAATTTTTATCTCCAATTTTAGGATAAATTACACTGACACCTTCTTGAGATTTTTGTTTAATACAAATCTCTCTCACATTTGAAAAATTACATACTCTTTTCCCAAAATTTGTAATTTCATTATAAATTGTCTCATGAATTGCTGATATCATGCCCTAAATTTTTTAAAATAACCATCTTACCATTTTTTCTACCATTTATTCTCTATTATCATGACTACATTCTACAACTTTTCTTTTTTAAATTCTACTTGAATATATTCTTTTTAGGTAATGATATACAAACATAAATCTTAAATAGAATTTTTGAACACAATGATATAGTTTAACGGTAACCTTTTACTTTAAAACGAAACACCCGCAAAAATGATTTATATTTATAACAATATCAATATCACAATATTTTTATGATTTTTTTTTTGGTATAAATTTTTATATACGAATATAATTTTTCATTTTTAATTCCACCGTTATATCTAGATTAGATAAATATAATCTAGATATATTTAAAACCTATAAAATTTGTACAAAAAATCCATTGAATACAACAAAATAACATAATGTATTGAATTTTTTTTAGTTTTTTGTATCTGGTGAATTTAAAAAAAAAAATCACAAAATATTATACCTGTTAAGTATATCAAAATTAAGTGTATCTAAAAAATAAAAAACTACTTAAAATATTAAAAAAAAATCAGTAAAAATAAAATAAATAAAAAAACAAAAAACAAAATAAAAATAAAACTCAATTTTTTGTGTGAGTTAAACTAAAAAAGATGATTGTTTTTTATCTGAAAATGACATGAACAAAATATTTAAATTATTTTATATGTATAAAAATTAAGGAACAAATATATCATTTAATATGATAGGGGGTAAGTATAATTTTTCAAATGTGAGGAAAAATCTGTATTAAACAAAAATTTCAAGAGGTTTCAGTGTACGTTACACTTCATTTTAAAACATAAAAGAAAATCTCATATTCATTAAAACAGAAAAGAAAATAATGAAAATATAGTTACTTATGCATACTCATTTTTTACAAGTAACAAAACATAAAAATATTATTTTAACAAATATATATTCATTTTCTTCTATTTTTCTAACTCAATCATATAAGATAAAATCAGATCACCTTCCGGGACTATTTTACAAATATAATTGCATTTTCCTAAGCGCACAATCAAAGACTCATCTCCAGATTTACAGAGGGAAATGCAATTCATAACATCAGATCACTTGCTATGAACTTGGAATGCCAGAGAGAGAGAGAGAGAGATCAAAAACATGGAAACCCCCATACAAATTCTATCTCCATTAGACAAATAATTTAATATACAATAGTAACAACAATACATAGCAACTTGAAACTGCTGACAACACAACACAATAGGAAGGACAATTAGCAACCAAGATAAAAGACAAGCACATCTCACCAACCACCACCCAAGAATATCCGTTTGATAGAAATTTTGGCAAATGCATATCCAAAACCAAAACACAAGAAATGAACCTTTCCTCAGCTCTTTGACTTGGAATGCTTGATGAGCCAATCAATAACTGAATCGATGTTTGTTGAGTTTTTGCATGAGATCATATAGCAGCATACCTCTCTATCAGTGATGGATTGGAGTCCCCTGCACAATACACCCATTATTATAATATGGTTGAGTTTTCGTTTTCTGGAAAATATAGAAAACTTGTTTTCGCAAACTGTTTCCCAAAAATGTTTCGGACAAATTTACTGAAAACAACCAGACTTTTTTTAAGAAAATAAAAGGGGGGAGAAAAAAAAAAACTTTGATATCTGTTTTTGCTGAAAATGATGAGTACTCCCAAAAATGAAAACAAAGAAAGTGGTAAATAGTGTCTGTCCACACTGACAAATAAGCACGTGACAAAGAATCAAAATACACATAATATTGGTGTGTGCTTGACAAAAAGTGCAACTCAGACCAGATCGGGTTCAAACAACTTTGCTGACAGGAACACCAATTTTGCAGCTTACACGTAGAGTTTCTCATTGTCAAAGCTGTAAACATATAACCCTGCTCACCACAAGGAAAGGCAGACCCTGCAAAATTATATTAGTTTTAGAGCCAGCTCTGGTGGTGACAAAGATTCATGAAGCATTTATACCCAAAAGCATCCAAGAGATCTTAAAAGTTCCAAACTACCCACAAAATCGACTACTGTAAAGTGTATAAGGTAAGTGAGAGTAGTGGAACTAGAATTTTACTTTTTGAGCCACATTTTTTTTTTCCCCCTAGAAAAAGAAAGCAAAAGAAAAGATAAATGGAAGAGGAAGAACAAAAAAAGATGGCACTTAACCAACATCAGGGAAGACACCAAATTTCAGCTTAATAGAGGCCCAACATTCTTAGCTCCGTGATGTGGCTGGGATCAAGTTCTTGGAAATCCTTATTAGCTTCTCTGTCTTCTACCACATACTCCTTTAACATAAAAAATCAGAAATCAATCAATTGAGAACTCAAAGAATCAATAAGGGGATTAATGCTTGATGATTTAACTGGGACATTAATGCTTCTCAAAACTGGGACATTAATTGTACCAATATCTCAGTAACTGAAAGAACAAAGTTGGATAAAAACTGAAACAATGTCTCTCTATCCAAACTACTAAAGGATGAAACTGTCAGGGTTAAAGTATGAAATTGTATCACCAAAATAGTTAAGTTTAAAATCAAACAATTCACGCACGAAACACAAAAAAACCCGACCCGATGAATTCCCAACTGCACCAATCTTGATTATTCCAGAGCAAGGATCGGGTTATACAATTTATTGTGATTTGTCACGGGATGAGTTGGGTTGTGTGTTGACATCAATTGAAGACACACAAGAAGAATTACCTGACTTACAACTTGGAGCTTGTGGCTTTGCTTGAAGATTTTGAGAGACAATACCTTTACGGCTAGAAATTTGAAGTGTTTTTCAACCACAAGAGCTTGAAAAACATGTTTTCACAAAAGAACCTTAATCTATGTCAAAGATGGGTAGAATTCATGGCTGATTATAATTTCACTTGCATTATCACCGGGGAAAGGCGAATGTAGTTGTTGACGCTTTGAGTAGGAAATCCGTTAGTCATCTAGGTGGCGTAGCCATTCGAGAACGGGAGATGTTTGGAAATATCAGCGAGTTTGATCTACACTTGGCGAATTCTAAGAGATTGCAATGTTATTTACCATGATTACTCTGCTGACTCTTGTTAGTAAAGTTTTAGAGGCCCAACAACACGACGTAGAGACTAAGACCATTGGAGACCGCATTTCCAAGGGTGAGGAGGAATGGGGATTGACCATCAATTCAGACTTTGACTTTGATAGTGAGGTACATGGATAGGATGTTTCTATTAGAGTCTTGTCATGATGACACTTTTAGAGTGTTTCATCATTCCAATCTAATAGTGCATCCTTCTTGTCATTTCGAGATGTTTGACTTGTCAACAAGTAAAGGTCAAACATCAAAAACCCGCTAGATTATTACAATTATTACAATTATTACTAGTAGCTGAATGGAAATGCGAGCATATCACGATAGAGTTAGGACTTCTGAGAACCATACAAGGGAATGATGTTATTTGGATAGTGGTGTACCGTTTGACAAAGACCGCACAATTTATTCCAATGCAACCCAACGACACTGTAGAAGATGTTAGAATGTGTTAGAATCTTCCTATTATTTGTTTCCTTAGATTATTCTGTAATTCCTTCATGAGGGCCTTTGGGCTTTCTTTGTAACAATTGGTTGATTAATATAAAGGGAGTGATATCATTATCACTCTCAAAGTTGATTTACCCTCAAAGCAAACATAGTATCAAAGCTTTAGGGTTCTAAACCTAGCACCCATCATCGTCTTATCATCACCAAACACCAATCAAAGAGCACCAACTACAACCTAATCAAATTTTATTTATTTATTTGATAAATTACAACCTAATCAATTTCGACACCTAACTATCTCCTATGACTCATTGTACCTAATTTTCGGATGCTCCTCATGCCCTAGGAGGGATCGCGACACTTGTCAAAGCCCTTCTGATCTTCGTCGCTTGTCTCCTAGGCCTCTGGCTAGTTCATGATTCACCCTACGTCGTCTGACTCTGCTTCGTGCTTCGACCCAGATCAGGCTATTCCTTGTGCGACATTAAGTAGCTTGTTTGGTCACTCTCTCATCTTCATATGGCTTCGATAGGCTAATATAGACAACCTATGGTCTGATTGGAATTTGTTTTTATTCTCATTCTCTTCAATACAACATTTTAAACTTTTATAATTGGGTCACCACGACTGCTATTTTTATTGAAGCTACACCTTTTATTATTTTGTTTAATTTTTGAGCTGATAAATGGCCCCATTAATCTGAATGTTATGCTTCCATTTTGATATGTGTTGAGATTGCTTGCTTATTCCATTCTCTCTTTCCAATATTGTGATTAGTGCTGTGATTTTTTTGGTTAAGTTAGTGGCATAGACATTGCTGACCCATCTAATGAATCCACTACTTCTCACCCAACTAAGGGGAGAATCCCAGTCCAATTATGACTACTACTTCTGAGAACCTCAACCCTAGCCTAAAAATCACCATCTTTTTGTTTAATGGTCAAAATTACCTTACATGGTCTCAATATCTGACATTTTTCTTGAAGAGTAAGGGGAAGATGGGATATGTAAATAGAAGAGTTCAAGCACCAGGTATTACTGATCCTGGCTATGATCAATGGGAGATTACCAACTCTTTGAT